ACTCCTCCTCAGGGATGGACCAGAAGTAGCGGTCGGTGAGGTGCTCAGGGGTGGCACAGGTCTCCAGGTCGTCCTCTCTGGTCAGCCGCCGCAGCCAGAGCAGCTCGCAGTTGCAGTGCAGGGGGTTGCCGCCAAAGCTGACCGTCAGCGGTGTGGGCGGCTTGGGCCCAGTGCCTTGTGACCTCAGGAAGAGCCCGTCAGGCGGGAGTTTATGGAGACGGTTGGAAGTCATGTCTAGGCGCACTAGTTTGTGAAGCTGCACGAAGGTCCCTTCAGCGATGTGGTCGATGAGATTGTGGTCCAGGGTGAGGGTGTTCAGATTCACCATCTGGCCTACGGCCTCCCAGGGCAGGGCCTCCAGGTTGTTGTAGGACAGATCCAGGTCCTCCACGGTGGACAGGAAGGCATCGAAAGCAGCTGACTCTACCCTACGGATCTGGTTGTTGCCGAGAATCAGGTGGCGAAGGTTGCCCAGGCCGCGAAGCTGGTCGCCACGCACCTCTGCCAGGCGGTTGCTGTCGAGGTGCAGGGCGCGGAGCGCTCGAAGGTCAGCAAAGGCACCAGCTGCCACCTGGCCGATGGTGTTCCGGGAGAGGGTGAGGTGCACCAGGCTAGTCATGTTGGCGAAGTCTCGGCGGCGGACGGCGGCGATGAAGTTGTCTGTGAGCCGCAGCTCCACCACGCGCCGGTCGATGGCAGGCGGCACGAAGAGCAAGCCGGTCTTGGCACACAGCATGGTCAGTGTGGGAGCCACATTCTGGCAGAAACAGCGGCCGGGGCAGGGCTGGCCACGAGATGTCCCTGCCCAGAGCAGCAGCAAAAAGGGCAGGGCAGCAGGTGGCGGCGAGAGGAGCGCCGAGAAGAAGAGGCCTGGAGCCATGGTGCAGTGGGAAGGCAAGAGGGCTGGGAGGCAAGACCTGCAAGAGAAGAGACGGTTACCCAGGCTTTGCCTGGGGTGGCTACCCTGGAAGTCCTGCTAAGAGTCAGACCTGGTTTCCACCCTCCCACCACTAGGTCCTCCAGGATGGTGACAGGACTCATCATTAGGAGCATGCTCATTGTTAACAGGTGACAGTTTTCTATGCCAGTTGGTAAGTTACCACTATCCCCTCCCCTAGCATCCTACCCTCACCTCTGCCCTTCCTCTATGAGATCCCAGACCTCTCATGATGTCCCAACCAGAGGGATGACTCCTGGCCTAGTCTGGGCCCTCCGGTACTCACTAAATATTCTGAAAATCACTGTTGATTATGGTTTAAGGCCATGGATAGCAAAGTCTTAACTCCTTGGGCTCAAATCCCACCTCTGCCACTTACTAGCTGTGAGACCTCGGGCAAGTGTCTGAACCTCTCTGAATCTCGGTTTCTTCATCTGTAAAATGGAGATAGAAATAGGCCTTACTTCTGTGAGAATTAAATATATAAATCAACATGGTGTACTCAAAACAGTGCCTGGGACATAAAATGTACTTAATATAAGTTAGCCATTATGAATTACCATCACCATCATCATCATCAAATGCCTAACATGTACCAGGCATAGAGCTGGGCACTCTTAGTAAAATCAAGAGCTTGGAAACCAACAGCCTCAGGTTCAAGTCCTGGTTCCCCCACTTGCTAGCTCTGTGACCCCAGATGAATGATTTCCCCTATTGAGGTTGTAATTTCTTAACCTGTAGATTGGGATGATAAATGCACCATCTTCATTAAGTTCTTTCCTAGGAACCACAGGACACAGGACCTGGCACATAGTAAGTGCTCAATAAATGTTAAAGATCCCTCCCTCCCACCTCTGGTGGTAGCAGAGAGAGTGTGAAGGTGGGAGGGGCTGAGAAAAATGCATCAGAGGCTCCCAGCTGAGCCTCAGGATTCCAACTCTGGCCTCTGCTGAGCTCCCAAGCAGAGAAGACTTTTGTGTTCATACCTGTGGATACGCACAAGGTTCCATACATGCCTACACACACACACACACACACACACACACACACACACAC